ATCGGCAAGTCCACTCAGCTCCACGTCCTGTACCACATCACTCCATCTCTTCTCTAGCCCGTGCCGCGCCCGTTTAGCCCCCTCGATGCGGCCGAACAAAAGCTGTTTCGGCATGCGGTGGCTGGGCATGCGGGCTACATGACCCAGCCAACGCAGCCTTGCCTGCCGGAGGAGCTCACCGATGGGACCTTGCCCAGATCTTTCAAAGATTTGTGAGCTCCTCACAAAATCCAGCTGGTTAAACCCAGGATGGATCGTAGGCAGGCCAGCCTAAATGTTTCTAACCGGTGAAGATGTTCCATTAGGGGGGTCCACGTTTCGCAAGCGTAGAGAAGGGAGGGAATGACCGTGGCCGAGAAGACCTGAAGCTTAGTGCGGAGCGACAGACCAGGTAGCTTCCACACAGCGTTACGCAACCGATGAAAATATATTGCCGCTTAACTGATTCGGAGTGAGACCTCTGCTGTTAAACTGGAGCCGGTCATAAGCACACTGCCCATGTATGGGAAACTCTCCACTCTCTCCACAACTGCCCCATCACCGATTGGGAGTTGTGGAGGTGGAGTGTCCGATGGTACAAAATACCCAGGCAGGTGCTTAGTTTTGGTGGGGCTGATAGTAAGGCCCCATCTCTTAGTAGCACGCTCCAGTCTCAGCAGCAGCGTCTCCAACTCCTCCTCTGAATGAGAAGCTATTACCAATTCATCGGCATACATAACGTGGTTGAGCAATAGGGAGCCATCCCTTGACCGTACTCGGGCATCGATCAGCCTCCCATTATATCTGTACCATATGGAGATTCCCCCGGTACAGCTATTGCAGGCTTCACGAACTACGTAGTCAAAGTAGATGTTAAATAATGTGGGAGCCAGAGGACATCCCTGTCGCACCCCAAGGTGTACAGGGAATGGCTCTGACTCCCGGCCACCCGGGCCCGCTCACCATCATGAAGGTCCTTAATGATCGTGAGCAGAGGGTCAGTGACTCCAAAAGCACGAAGAACAACCCAGAGCCCAGGCCTACTGATGGTATCATAGGCCTTGACCAGGTCAATAAAGCAGAGATGTAGGTCTTGCTGGAATTCCCTACACCTCTGCTGTAGCAGACGGACAGAAAATATGGCATCTGTGCAGGACCGCCCTTTGCTGAAACCGCATTGGGGCTCCGCAAGCCTCTCCTCAGCGTGCCTGGCAAGGCGATGTTGAATAATCCTTGCCAGGACGTTTCCAACATCCCACACACACACCAACATTCCACACACCAACATCCCACACACACACGCGCGCTCAACGAATCACAAAGTTGTTGTTGTTGTTATTCGCGACAACCACTTACTGAGAGAATGCCGAGCTTGCTACTCTGAAGTCGACCTCGCTGTCTGTCGCCTTGCTGCGCTGGCTCGACAGACTTCGCTCTCTGTGTCCCCGTAAAAGTCTAAAGTCTGTGTCCCCGTGAGAGAGACAGAGAGAGAGAGACAGAGAGAGAGACAGAGAGAGAGACAGAGACACAGCGAGAGACATAGAGACACAGAGAGAGACAGAGACAGAGAAAGAAACAGAGAGATAATATTTCGTGACTGAAGGAATCCATACTCTTTGGTTCTTTCGGTAAAGTCACGTAGGCAGAAAAATAATAGATCACGACGCTTCGATCGCCACACAAGCAACCGTCTTCACGTTGCTTGTGTGGCGATCGAAACGTCGTAATCTATCATTTTCTACCTACGTGACTTTACTGAAAGAACCGAAGAGTACAGAGAGAGAGAGACAGAGAGAGAGAGAGTTCTGGCTCCGTGATGTTTCCACCATTCGCCCTGGAAGGGATGGGGCGGCGGATTTGTCACCCACTCCTCAATGTGCTTTGGATTTCATCCAGAATTCGGAGGGAGCAGCATGCCTGACGAGTCGACGCATTACTCTCCCTGTCCTCTATTGTTACGCAAATTACGCAGTGCCATAGACAGGGCTTTGGCAACCTAGAGAGAGAGAGGGTTGCCCGCATTCACAATCGGACTCTAGCCAATTTTGTCTACCTCGAGAATTGTCAAAGTGGGCGACCTTGGGGAGGAAAATCCTCAAGTGGAGAGAGATCCCGTTTAGTGGCTCGTGCTCTGGGTTCACACCCAAGGGGTGGTCAGTGCCGGATTGAGCTAGTGCGGGGTCTGTAGCATATTTGATGTTATAAAGGGGCCCTCAATTAAAAAAAAAACCACGTAAATATTAAAGCACAAATGTTTTACTTGCATAGTAAAGTAATTATATTTTTTCATTTGCTATACAGCCAGCTAATACGACTAATCGCTAACCTTAAACACCCAGTCGTTCATAAAAGTTGAAGGCAGTATAGTACTATAGTAATAGAGCAAGTGCAGAATCACTGAACCGGAATTGATAGCTTGAAAGCATTTAGCGCGGGGCCCTTGAAAGTGCGGGGCCCGTAGCTACTACACATGTTGTAGCTACAACATATGTAGCTACAACATATGTAGTAGCTACATATGTACGTGCTACACGTACATGCGTGGGCATGCTTACGACTGGCGCCGTTCGTCCCTGAGTGATGGTGACATCTCCGCAGCGATTGTGCCAGGCTAGGTGCACTTACATACACATGAATGCATGCACATATATACTGGACATACGTACATAGGTGTGCGTACGTGCAAGACACGCGCCGACGTACACAGACATGATTCTTCATTGCTTTATTTTTTTTAATATTAGATAAGGTCGTGTCGAAGTGTGTGTGTCGTGAACCCACCTCCACCCGACACAGCCGCGCTTATAAAAAAAATAATATCGTGATCATCTTCGTGATTAACCCCCTTTTGCAGTGGCATTTGTCAATGTGTCCTTGTTAGTCGTGGAACCTTTTTGCCGGTATCAAAGTACGAACAAATAGGAATAGATTTTTACCCTGTCTGGCAATAAAGCAGTAATAATAGGGGTTTTCCCCTTTTTTCTGGCAACAAAACTGAAACCTTTTTACAAGGATTCATGTCTGCATTAACCACAATACCTGCAGTCAAAATGCAAACAAAACACACACTATGATAATATGATGCATTGTCCTTGAAACTGATTGGTCCACACCAAGGGACGGCTTTCTTTTGAGCCTCGACCCAATTGGTGCTCGACCAGATGACGCCAAAAGGCGTAAGAAAAGAAGGGGAAAAACCCTATTATTACATTTTGGTACTGGCAAAGGAGGTCTAATGATGATGAAATAAAACAGGATTTGTATTAAGTTGTTCAAATATCAAAGAGATATCTTTGTCAAGGCATCAAGTACTGCAGTAACCTCACGCACTGTCAGACTAGGCCACAAAGACGTTTGTTGTCTGTGGTGTCAGACAATCAGTTTCAAACACAAGGGCCATATCAGTTTAACACGTAGCAAGCTTTCGCGACCAATATGAATCATAATAAAGGCTTTTGGGTTAGATCGCGTTATTTATATTTTGTCTTTTGTCAACGTGACACCTTTTTTTACTGATTGGCCGTGTCGGGTGGTGGAGTGTTGTGACACATTTGTAAATAACGCGATCTAACCCAAAAACCTTTATTATGAACAATTCCCATATATTATTATCGGAGCACAGTTTGTTTGCACGTTCACCACACGCACGTGTGTTCAATGCAGTACGTGATTCCTTGCAAAAGCTATCGTCTATTTGGTGTTTGAACATCTTAAAACAACTCCCGTTTCATTTCCATAAAGGGTAACTCCTATTATTAATTATTTTCATGTCCTTGTTTGTTTACATATTAGTACTGGAGTCGACCTCTGTCCGTTCGTTGTCTCTGTAGCTTCGCGTTGCAATTTGCAGCTGGGATCAATACCCTGGAGATAGATGCGCCCCAGCCGGTTTGCGTTGCAGCGAATTCAACATTTTATCTTCGATCTAAGACCGACTTGCGTTTGCAGTCTTATAAACTCTTCGTTCAAGAGTGTTTTTATATATTTGTAGTTCTGATCACAGTAAAGTAAGCACCCAGCGGACCTGTGGGTTACTGCACCATCCCAAATTCCAAGTGGCGTTCTGCACCGAGTCTGTGGAACGCGACAGGATTTTGGCATCGACATCAGGCACTCCAACTTCGGGTGGTTTCTTCTAAATGAAGCCTTAAAGGCTATTTTATTTGTAATTCGATGCATTTTCTTTACGATTGATTTTATGGCGATCGTGACGTCTTTATGTTTTCAACCAGTTTTTTTTTACAACGGTAGCTTCCCAGGGTTCGAACGATAGTCGCATACATTTCATACCTGTCAACCCCTTATCAGTGCCCTACCTTATTACCGCCCAATTCAAATCTTATTGATCACCCCGTGCCCTTATAAATCTCAACGTTCATCCTACAAGGTCCCCATCACAAGGGAGAAACACAAACAAATACACAACAATTTTGTTGTTCTTGTAGTTGCTCGTATTCAAACGGCTGTACGCCGTATGGAACTGAAAACTCAATTTCCCTGTACAAAACTACTGGGTAAACCGTCTGGGTTGACAGCTGTGATATTTCTACTTTGGTTTTATCTTTGATTTCATTGGATTGTGATTTTACTGGCGTGATTTATTTTAATATAGAATTCTAGTTCTTTTTTTATCTCTGTGCCTTATATAAAACTGAGTTTATTATTATTTTAAATGTGCGTTGTTTGTCTTTGCCTTGCTGTTAATCATCTGGGTGACCCAGCAGATCACTTTTGCCAATGAGACTCTGTGCATGTACTATGTATCCATGCTGAACTTCTTTCGCACCGTACGCAGCCCCGGTCCTCTTGAGTCAACTCGGCTTCAAACGAGTACCCGGTGCGGTGCGTGGTGAACATCGCCGCAGGGGAGACAAAGGCGGTCGGGCGTGGTGCTGGCCACCCACCCCCTCGTGTGCCACGGTGCCGGCCTTCATAGGTGCTGCTACTCGCTAACAGCCACTCGCCCCAACAGTCTGTTACAGGCTACACGGGGGGTGGGGGGGGGGGGTCTTTGTCTTTGCACCATGTATGCATGTTGAACTTCTTTCGCACCGTACGCAGCCCCGGTCCTCGCGAGCCGTCACCCTGGCCGGACACAATATTGACACCTGGCCTGTGCCCAAACCGTCCGCTCGAGCAGAAAAGGCCAAATGCATCGACGGAGATGAAGACGACCCCAGGGGGCACCTCGGGCCCTCAGCCTTCTTTGGACCCACGCTCTGGGGCAAGACGCTGCCCTACTACGACAGCTTCCAGCTCGAGTACATGGACCTGGACGAGTTCCTGCTCGAGAACGGCATTCCTCCGGTGGCCAACTCCACGGCCGTGGCCTCGGCCACTGCCACGGCTCTTCCCGTGGCGTCCCCGGGCCCGGCTCCCCAGCCGCTGCCATCCCCGCCTCTCCCCGCTCGGGCGCCGTCCGTGGGCGATCTGCCACCGGGGCCGAGCGGCTGCTGCGCCATCAACGTCGATCCTCTTCCATCGCGTAAATATTTACGCGATCTAACACACCAACCCCACCATCCACACCCCCTCCCCCCAAAAAAAAAACCTGGATGATATCTGTCGCGAAAGCCTAGGGCGTGTTCAACTCTCGATCCTCTTTGTCGTAGCCGGCCGTCTTATTGATTCATGCCGGAGGAAGCCGATGAGCTCTTAGATTCGTTTTTGTTGTGTGTGCAGGAGCGGGGTCGTCATTTACGCAGTCACCTGCCTCTGTAATGCTGCCCTGCCTCTGCTGAAAGCGCAGACGATGTAACACTGTACCCCCCCCCCCCCCCCCTAAAATGTGTTCCGTCTTCGCGATGTCCTGTGCTCGGAAACGTGCTCTAGGCAATGTTGCCGCGAGCTGTACTGTGATGTGCTGCAGGTGTTGTGCTGTAAACCTGGGCGCTGACGTCCTAGCCATTGTTCCGTAAGCTGTAAATGTATGTTGAATTTCTTTCGCGCCGTACGCTGCCAACCAAGCTCATTGGAGGCGCGGGGGAAGGACAACAAACCAACGCGCAAAAACCTGTTCTAAAGAAATGCGTTTTCAATCTGGATTTACAAAGTGCATCGCTCCAGTGGCTTCCGAATATCGGAAGGAAGAGCGTTCCAGACGGCCGCTGTGCTGTAAGCTGTCCTGTGCTGTAAGTGATGTGCTGTACGCTGCGTTGTGCTAGACATCGTGCTGTAAGCTGTGCTGTGATGTCCGTGTCGCGCTGCAAGATGTGCTGTGATGTGCTCGGCAATCGTCCTGTAAACTGTGGCGCGATGTACCACACGTCTCGTGCTCTAAGCTGTGACGTGCTGCGCCGAGACACTGCGCTGCAAGCGGCGCCGTAGACGTCGCGCTGCAACCTCCACAGCTCTGCAACCTCCTCGTGGTGCGCGCGCGTCGCCCGCGAATCGACAGAGCCGAGCGACGCGGGGCCCGGGAGCCCGGACGCCCCGCCGGACCACGAGGCGGAGCCCGTGGAGCAGCTGGTGATCTCCTCGCTGCCCCGGCAGGGGACCTTTGACCCCCGGCAATGCAAGTTCTCCGACATGGAGCTCAAGCCGCAGCCCATCGTGAAGAAGGCGTGCAAGAGTCACGTTCCCGACGAGCTCAAGGTCAGCAGAGCGCCGGATGCTCGAAGGCGCCGAGCACGGTTTGGCTACGCGCGGTGCGGAAGAAGTCTGACTGCACGCGTACAGGCGGGGGGGGGGGGGGGGGCAGCTCTACCTCGAACACCTCTTGTACCAAGAGGCCAAGTGATTTGGGAGGATCATGCGTGACAGTGCAAGGCCACGAGAGGTTTTGTTTTGAGTTAGATCGCGTAACTATAAATGTGTCGTTAAACCCGCCACCACCCGACACAGACAACGAGCGATGTTTGTCACGTAAACAAAACATGCCGATGCGTTATTAGTTCAGCGCACTGGTGTGTTGGAGAGTAAACCCACAACATTTACATGCCAGGCGTTTAAAATGTACTATATTATACAGCTTTGCGTAGAATAAGGATCGATACCTAACATAGAGAGAGGCTCCTTGCCTCTAAACATATTACAGCTCACCAGCATTGGTTTAAGCAAATCTAACTCCGCTGATGATAGCGAATGTCAAAACTGGTCCAGCGTCCTTGTACTAAACCAAATGCTGCTGAAAAAATGCACTCACCAGAAGGCTGCGTGGCTGATGGGACGTATGGTAAATCTATTCTCTTACTTGGAGAGAAATATGAGAATGAGGCATATCGTCTACTTGTTCACTTCATCACGTATACAGGCAGACCTCGCTTAGCGTTCAAGATGCGTTCCTGGAGGAGTGAGCGTTAATTGAATCGGCGCTGAAAGGGAGTCATTGCACCGCTGGATGTATGGGGATGCGTTCCCAAAAGCATTATTTATTTTGTGCGAGCAATATAAGAGGCCTCCACTGGGGCATCGGTAATCATCATCACCATCGCCATCACGATCCATGGGCAGGTAGCCGTTAGGTGCCCACTGCACATTTTCGTAATTTGTTTCCATTTTCCTCTGCCTTGTGTCAATACGCTTAAGTAGTACATCGGTAATGGTGTCATAAGTCACAATATCCAGAATATAGTTTTTTTAGGGGTTAGATCGCGTAAATATAAATGTGTTGTTAAACCCGCCACCACCTGACACAGCCAATTTAGTAAGGTTTGTCACGTAAACAGAACGTGCCAATTCGTTCGTAGAGTAGCACACCAGTAATTACAACTAATTGTAACAACTGGTTGTAATTACTGGCGAAACGTTGTACTCAGATTGTAAATGTTGTGAATTTGCTATCCAATACACCGGTGTGCTGTACTATTTTTACGCGATCTAACCCAAAAAAAACCTCTTATGGATGATATTGGTCGCGAAAGCCTACCACGTGTTAAACGAAGCCACAACAACAATAATCCAACTCCACCCGTCCTTGTGTGCCAGGACGAGCGCTACTGGGCCCGACGCAGGAAGAACAACACGGCGGCCAAACGGTCCCGCGACGCGCGGCGTCTCAAGGTGAATCAGATCGTGGTGCGCGCCTCCTTCCTGGAGCAGGAGAACGCGGCGCTGCGTCGCGAGCTGGCCGAGATGCGCCTTGATCTGGGCCGGGTGCGCAACCTCACGGCCAAGTACGAGGCCCAGGGGGAGGCACAGGGGGAGTCCCGGTGCTTGAGCGAGATCGCTCAGAGCGGTGGTTCTTCTTCTTCTGCTGCTGCTTAACCCGGCGGGGGGGGGGTGCACGCAACCACCCCCCTTGCCCGCCCGCTGGGGGGGGGGGGGGGGTTGCGAGACGTGGCCAGGTTTTTTTTTTAGAAGGTAAATAATCGAAAACGCGAATTAATCACGGGCACGTAAGCTACAACTTACTTTGTTTCATCAAACCCGATGTCATTATTGACATTATTCATTTTTTGTTTACGATTGAGAACCAAAAGGGTGCAAGGCTGCAGTCATTGTTATAACGAACCACTCAGAATAACAACAGCCTTGTGATTCATTCGCGAGCGTGCATGTGTGTGTGTGGTGTTCGTGTACGAGTGTGTGTGTGGTGTACGAGTGTGCGGTAGTGTAGCGGTTAGCGGGCCCCGCTACGAACCTGACGACCCGAGTTCCATTCCCGCTCACGGCCAACACCGGTGATTAGCATCCGAACCGGTCCTGGGCCTCCCCTAGGTCTACTCAGCCTCAAATGAGTACTGGTGCGGTGTGTCGTAAACATCGCCACTGGGGAGACAAAGGCGGCCGGGTGTGGTGCTGGCCACCCACCCCCTCGTGTGCCGTGCCGGCCTTCATAGGTGCTCGCCAACAGCACTTGCCCCGACAGTCTGTTACAGGCGATGCAGGAGATCTTTGTTTATCGGAATATTTCTACTGGAGGAATCCAACGAGCCATAAAGCTCTTTTTTTCACATATGTTCCAGCAGATGCGGGTCAGAACGTTGCAACAACAAATAACACCAAAAAAAACAAAATAGGAGTGGCAAATTCTAGGCAAGGTAAGCAAATCAGTGAAATAATAAATACAAATAAAACTAAACTATTTTTTGTATATTACTAGGCAATGCCCACTGCGCCAGGTCGCATCTTTTTGCAGAAGCGACCTGGCCACAGACGATAGCTCAGCGAAGGGGCTGGCTCATCGTGTGGAACATCCACGGCAGCAAAATAATCGAAACGCCGCGTCACCTCGACGGAGGCACCGCGTGTCGCGACACGCGATGCCTCCACCCGACGCACTCGGCATTCGGTGAAGTTTGTCGCGTTCTGTTCACTAGAGAAGCGTTGCGTTACCAATGGGTCGAGTGGAGGCGGATGTGGAGACACGCTCACATTGACGCACAAAAAAAACTCTTTCCATTAAGTGGTCGCGACGAGTTAAGACTCTTTCAGCGTGTCCATTCGTCCCCGCCGAGCTGAGCTGGTGTGTTGTATTTTTCGTGGCTTTCAGTGTCGTCAAGTCGTCTAAACATGAAAGGAGATGGACCAAGATTTTTTTGCCTCCTCGCTTGTTTAAATGTTTTTTTGCACTTTGGCATTACGTTCAGCTTTTGCACTTACTGTACTGCACGACCCAATCCACGCATTGGCAAAGTAATCCTTCGTGTGTTTTATTTGAGCAAAAAAAAACCCATGCCAATGTTTCCTCCGCCAACAATTGGGAACAGAAAAAAAATCGCTCATTGAATCCTACGTGTATAATCTGCTTAATTTATCTTTTTTTTTTTTTAAAACGTATTGTCCAGCAGCCACTGCTGGCAGTCTGTTGCAATTTACATTGTGCTCGGGTAGTCCCCCGATTTCTCTGTCACCGATTCTCAATTGGTGCATCACAAGCAGCCGATATGACTTCCAAATGTATTCAGTAAGCTCCAAATGTATTTGACAAAATATATTAAATATATACAAAATATATACATGCACATGGTTATCCTCGTAACGAATAATATACCGGGTTTTTTTTCTGGAAGAACGTAGCAATGTTTTTGTTCATCATTAATTTTTCAAACAATTTAAGATCAACCACAAGTTATTTGTCAAACCAAGACGGTATATGTCTTGATGGCCTCGTAGCCATCAACAGGAAGTCTCAGGCAACAAAGTTGATAAGAGATTGCATAATGCTCCCCCATAAAACTCAATTATTGAAGATCTAAAAGCAGATATTCAGACTTCTTGAAAGTTAGTCTTACCTTCGTAACCAAGCCATTTCTGATAGTCCGCTTAAGGGACAGCTGATGTGTCAGTCCTCCGTGACCTATATTCTGGTGTGGATGAGGCCACCACAAATATGAAAGACAAGAGTGGACTTAAAATTATAAATAAACGTAAGAGGTGGGAATACTCACACTTTACCCCACCATGCATGGCCTGTCGATGGACTAACTTTGAGTTACCCATTCATACTGCTGGGTAGACAGAGGGATGGTTTTAACAATCTTTCCCATCTTTCAACTGCGATCTCTGGATTTGCAAATCCAGGGTGTATTAATCGTTCCTCGACGGTGGCTTCCACAATTATTTTGGCAGGGGATATTGATACTTTACTAAGTGAAATGATTAACATCCTGCCAAAATCAGTGTGTTATTTTATGATTAACTGCCGTGACAATAAGCTGCGGTCAGTCGCGCCGTACTCGACTGTAGTGCGAGTTAGAGGCCGACCGAAATTCGATTTCGGTTTCGGCCGAAAGTAAATCTTTAACTTTCGGTCTGGTTTTGTTTTCGGCACACGCGCGCATGCGGCGGCGGGGGTGGTTGATGGCAGACGTTCCTCACTCTCTTCGGCGATCGCAAGCAGCACACACGCGCACACTCAAGCAAGGATGGGCGTGAGAGGGGTGTGGTGGTGGTGGGATAAGACAGACGACAGAGAAGAATAAAAAAAATAACTTCCCCCCCCAAAACCACCCAACTAGCGAGCAGCAGCACACGCGTAGCCAGCACACGCAGCAGCAGCACACGCAGCAGCAGCACACGTAGCCAGCACTCGCAGTAGCAGCAGCACACGTAGCCAGCAATCGCAGCAGCAGTCCACCAGGAGCACTTTTGTTTGAGCGGCTCAGAGGCTGGAGTCTCACAGGCAGCTCGAGGCACGCACCACACACACATCTTCGGGCGCCCGCACAGCACTGAGCAGATTATAGCAGCGTGCTGATGCCAACAGTGAGTATACGCGCGCGCGCACACGCACTCACTCATCCGCCCACCAGCCACACACACACACCAACCCACCCACCCCTCCAATGATCCAATTCAACCCTTCCACCACCCCACCTCCACATGGGTTCCACACAGCAGGAGGGGGCTTGGGTGTGCGTGCGAGTCTGTGACGCGTCTAGAGGCCGACCGAAATTCGGTTTCGGCGCAAAAAGTTGCCAAATGGCCTCTTTCGGCATAGTTTCTGTTTCGTCCGAAGCCAAAAAGTTTACTTTCGGTTTAGGCCGCAAGTCAATCTTTCACTTTCGGTCTGGTTTCGTTTTCGGCCAAAGCCAGAAATTCAAGTTTCGGTCGGCATCTAGTGCAAGTCTTGTGTTTTCCGTCAGTCACGAACCCTCCCAAGATGAAACGTGTCGATTTAACTACAATTGCAGCGGTAAGGTAAATTCATATTGCCGTGCCGAGACACTCGCAAATGAGCCCAAACTGTGGTCTCAAGAGTTCTCAGCTGGTTAAGTAGAATCAAGTTCCACCAGAATAATTGATTTATAAATTAATATTCAATCGTGACTGCATTCTGAAATGATGCGCTAGATAAGGCACCGTCACTTGATTGAGCAGTCTCTACCCCAAATCAACTAGGCGAAAACAAGATCTCAAATGAAATGTGAGTCCGGGACAGAGCTAAACATTATTTGACAACTTTGGCTTTATTATCGACATTTGTCAGGTGCTCTGATATCCTTGGATTCTTAAAATTACAAGCATTAATGAAATTGCACTTTTTCCTCTCATTTCGGAGAAGATGTTGAAAGTAACACTGAAAAAACTCAACATGCTGACCCGTCTTGCTAAAACACAAATATTCCATCAGCCACGTACGACCTCGTGTCTAAATGAACATAACCCCACGCCCCGCGATTAACGCGGGAACGAGGCACACGAGGTTCAGGAATGCTGCGGAGCTTTAAGATGTCAAGGCCAGCGATTGGATATTACAAGACCAGCGCAGGCAGCCAGGAAGATGCCACACCGGTGAAAACCTTAAAAAAAAACTCCCATGCACATCAGATGTCCCCCCCCCCCCCGGCATCGCCACAACCCCTCGTGAAACTAAATCGACAATATTGCTCTCCGGTGTTCTCTCGGGTTCGAACCACTGTGCCCCGTTTGGCGTGACGTCCGAAATGTCCCTCCACGTGCTGGGAGCTTCTTCAGGTGTTCAGTTTCTGTTATCCTGTTCCGGAAGTAGTTCCCAGCTCATGGAGCAAAACATCCAACGTGACGCTCGGGCACATCAGGCCGGACGGCGCGCGGGACGCAATCTGAAGACACATCGGAGAGAGAAACCAGCACGACCCTGAAAAGCTACGAACAGTGGTGAACGAACGACGGCCGGGACCGGGCAGAATCGTACGAGCCAATGGAAGGTAACGCAGGACGCAGCACCACGTAAGAAGCCCCGCAGCACGGCACAACACAGCAGGCGGCTACTTCAGAGGCACGAAATACAGTAAAACCTTGGATTGCGAGCATAATTCGTTCCGGAAACGTGTTTGTAATCCAAAGCACTCGTACATCAAAGCACTCGTCATTTATCAGTTGTGATCACGTGACGCTCGGCAGACAAAGCGTACGTACGTGCTGCTCGTATTGCAAGACCGTCGCTCGTTTATCAAATTAATATTTCATATTCTTAGCTCTTTCGGTAAAGTCACGTTGAATGGAAACAATAAAATAAAAAAATATATATTAATATATATTTTATTATTTTATTGTTTCCCTTCAACGTGACTTGACCGAAAGAGCTAAGAATATGAATTACTGCAGTCACGAAAGCTTTAAATCAAAAGTTAATATTTATTTAAAATTTTTGCTCGTCTTGCAAAACACTCGCAGACCAAGTTACTCGCAATCCAAGGTTTTACTGTACAGTCCAAGGCAAAGAAAACGAATTTAAGTTCTGTACAGTATTTACAAACAAAATCATTTGTCGGGTCATCGTCCAACAGCAGCTTCGGCGTAATGAACACAATCTGGAGGTGCCGCTCTTCCCTTGCAGACAGGAGATGAAGACTGCGAGGAGAAGGTAGTCCTCACAGCAGTTTCCAGTCGTCTTCCTTGTCGCACTTCTTTTGCTTTTTAAAGAAGATCCCAATTTTATCCTTGGCTTTTTCTTTCACTGTCAACGAAACGTACAAAAAATACTGATCGTAAAATATATGTTGCAACGATGTAAATAAAAATCACAAGCTGATGACAATTCAATTGTGTAGAGAGGGCATCTCCAGCCGAGGGCAGGAGGAAGGATGTGAACCCCACCAACAGATACAGTCTATACTAAACCCATGAGGAGACAGTATATACTAAAACTACTAGCAGACAGTCTATATAAAACCTACTAGCAAACAGTCGACATGAACCACACGAGCAGCCAGCTCACCGTTTAGAGGCGTCACAGAGTTGTCCTGCGTCAGCTTGTTCGACAGGTGCCGCGCAAAGCCCTTGAACAGGTCCTGTGGCCGTCATCGCCATCACCACAAAGCAGTGTTAGATGAACAAGCACAGGGCGGCACGATCACTGCAGCAAACGCATCCTCAAGAGGGCCACTGAAAACCAACCTATGGGCCGCCGTTCCACAATTTAGGCGCTTTACAGACACGGTGATTATGAGTACGGCCATGAAGTTGCTTTTTTTTAACCTGGCTAAGGTTGTAGTATTACAAACAATTTGAACTCGCAACGCAGAAAGAAATAACATGTCCACCTTCCTTGATTTTAAAGAAATGATCTCGTGAAGAGTCAGTGTGGAGGGCACTTTCAGGAGCGAGGATGTCTCTGTGGGTCAGGTTGGTGGTCAGTATAGGTCAGATCATTGCGAGTCCGCTAAGACCCGCACGGCCAGGTTCACACCATGGTGTATGCGCCGAATTGGACAGCTTCGCTTTCAGCTGACGGAACGGTGTTGGATATAAATGAAATTAAATTCAGGCAGTTTACCCACAGAGGCCTCACTGAGAGTCAAGACTTTCTCTTTCACGAGGGTCCTACGCATTGGGATGTTTGACCAATGACATTCCAGGGAGTTTGACTTCTTGTGGGAGGAATTTGGGGCGCTTTGAGAAAACTCACTATGCAGACAAGGGGGGAAGACACCGAGCACTACCATCTTCTAGCCACACCTCGCAGCCCCACGCCGACGAAATCCGACAACCCCCTGCTCGCCATGCATCAAAGTACTAACTGGCCTCAACTTAGTGTCCCGGATCCAATGAGATCAGATACATTTTTATAGCTATTCGTAATTCTCAGTTGGTCAATCCGCTGCTCGAGTGAGGGCATCCCAACACCGTGCTTGTCACAAGAGTGTTTGACCATACTTCCCCGCGCCGCCGGTCAGTTCGGGTTTGTGAAGAGGGGCGCACCCACGACCGGTTCAGATATCACTCGCAACCGATGCTAGTCGCGGCCAACAATCGAACTCGGGTGGCTCGGGTTCACGGCGCAGTCAACGAGCTGAGCACCACCATCGTGGTGACACCGCTAATTCATCCGAGAGAAAAACGCAACGTAACACGAGAATACAAAACAGGCGGGGGGAGCGAAACGAGCCGAAGATGTGAGGCTGGGTTCCCGTGAGCGTGCAAGCGAAGCTCTATCAGAAAAAAACAAAGGTGATTTTTTTTTGTTCCCCGAAGGAGGAATGAAAACTAAAAGAGCGCCAAGGCAACAGCAACCCTGTGGAACAGCGGCGTCTGGAAACCAAATCCATGCCACCCCCCCTCCCTCCTCCTCCTCCTCAATCAACGCACTCCTTCCATCCTTCGATTTATGACACGGGGACACTAAAAGTCTACGCTGGTAATTACTCTGCCGCCTTATGCAGGCAACCGCAAACACCCAACACCGCTTCGTATACGAACATTAAAAAAACGGTCCGTTTAACATTTCATAGTTTTTTCCATTTGCTTGCTTTTTTCAAAATGTAATTTGCTTATCAAGTGGCATTATTTACTTGTCCATCAGTACAAAACCTTTTAGCTGTATTGGCTCTTTAAATATTTTTGCTGCCAATGCATTCACTTGGCCACTACAGCCCTTATTTGCTCTCTTCTGGTATTGCTATTTTTACCGCATTTCCCCCCAAATCTTTATTTACATACATAGGCCCAAGTTGTGCGTAAAATCGGTTGCATATCGTCTCTTTTTACCATTTTGCAATTTGTTTTGGTTCCAAGTTTCCTTTGCAATCCTGATAATAAGAATCTTAATTTATACCTGGAGGAAGCGAATGAGTATGAAGCTCTGTTTCATGTGTGGCAACACTGGGTTTGATTAGCACAGTGGTTCTTAACCTTGTTGGAGGTACCAAACCCCACCAGTTTCATATGCGCATTCACCGAACCCCTCTTTAGTGAAAAATAAAATGTGATTTTTTTCAAATTCAAGACATAGATATGTTTTTTACTGGTACACAAAATGAGCCGTGCATGAACATTACCTTGTTCAAAGAATAAAACCAACACAATGCATAAACTCACAACAAATTACATACCTGGAAATCAATGTGACTTCTGCTGTTGCCTTTGAGAGATCAGTTCAGATATGCGTGGCTTCACCTTGGCAAGTGCCACTCTCATGTCATTTTCACAGCAAAGTCTGTTCCTTTTCTTCGTTTTTATGTCCAGCATCCTCGAAAAGGATTGCTCACAAAGATATGTTGTAACAAATGGTATAAAAAAATCCAGGGCTTTCTTAGCAATAACTGGATACTTGTTCATTTGTCGACACCAAAACGTTGAGAGCGTTGTTGTTCTGAAGAGTTGCTGTTGAACCTGGCTCTGCTGAATTTCAATGATTTCGTCGAGGAATTCATCATTGACATCTGCTGTTTCAACAGCAAACGTGAACGGCTGTCTCACCCATGATGGATATGACTCTCTTGTAGGGAAATATCCGTCGAGAGACTTTGCAAGCTCATCTAAGTGCGTGGCAATTGTTTGCTTCAGTTCCGTGGATACAGAAATATCTCCGATTCCAGACACATCTTCGATCTTACTTGCACAGTCGTCCAGAAGCGGGAAGTTTGCGAAGTTCTTGTTCTCTGTTCGTCGTTTCCATAACGGTAGCTTTTTTTGAAAAGCCTTCAGGTGTTCTTCCGCTTCCATGATATTGACTCCACCACCCTGCATCTGCTGATTGAGATGATTGAGAGCTGCGAATATATCAGCCATGTATGCTAAAATGAGAATGAACTCAGGATTTTTGAAGCAATCTGCATGGCAGTGTTGGTGCTCTTGCAAAAACAGGGCTAATTCCACACGCATGGCAAAAACACGATTCAGCACCTGTCCCCGGGATAACCACCGAATATTAGAATGGAGCAGAAGTACCTCAAATTCAGAGCCCATTTCTTTACACAACTCACTGAAGATGCGGTGCCTCAGAGCACTTTTTCGCACATAGTTCACACATTCCACCACAGTTTTTAATACTTCTGCCATTTTTGGAGGTAAGGTTTTTGTTGCCAACGCATGCCTGTGCAGAATACAATGCGTCACAATGATGTGTGGTGCATCGGCCTTTACTAGCGCACCAAAACCAGACTTTCTTCCCAGCATGACTGGAGCTCCGTCCGTACAAACTGCAGAAACCATATCCCATGAAAGATTGTTGTCTCTGAAGAAGTCATCCACAAGCTTCTTCACATCGGCTGCCTTCGTTGTTGTTGTAAGAGGCTTACAAAATAAAAACTCTTCTTTTATCATGTCGTCTTTCACATAGCGTACAAAAACAGCAAGCTGGCTTAGATCAGAAACGTCTGTGGTTTCGTCGAGTTGAAGGCTGAATTTTGCCGGGCTTGAAATCAGATCCGCGACTACTTGAGCCAAGATGTCTTTACTCATGTCTTCTATTCTGTCACTGACGGTGTCATTTGAAAGGGGAATTTGGGATAATTAACCTTCGGCCGCTGTTCCGAGTATCAGATTCGCCATCTTTAATGCAGCTGGTTTCACAAGTGTTTCACCAATGGTGTGTGGCTTGCCCTGCTTTGCGATCAGGTAAGCAACTTCGTACGATGCTGTCAGGATCAGTTTGTTAACAGGTACAAATCCAAGAGCAGGCAGAGTGGCCCTTTCATCGAATCTGGCTCTCTTCACCCTGAATTCAGCAAGTGTTGTGTTCTTGTATTCCCCGTCTCCATGCAGCTTCAAGAAGTGTTCCTTTAGTTTTGCCGGTGCAAGACTAGAGTTGCTCAACTTGGCGTTGCAAATCATGCAGATAGGACGCTCACTCCCATCACGTTCCGTGATACATGAGAATCCATGTTGTACATATTCGTCCGACCACTTTCTTCTTTTGCCCGACATAGTTAGTATGGATAAAATATTAAAGAAATCACACGACGTACGACAACAACAGTCACACGTTGACTACTGAGTACGCACTAAATTCCCCGCAGCGCTGATTGGCCAAGCAGTGTAGCATGATCATCTGCAGCCAGTGATGGCCAAGCGGGCCGTGTGTGTCATCACAAATTTACACAATAATTCAAGTGTGTCCGGACCTCCGTGGCGGGGGCTCTGCCGAACCCCTGAGATCGACTCACCGAACCCCTGGGGTTCGATCGAACCCAGGTTAAGAACCACTGGATTAGCAGCTACGGCTGACACTCGCGCAGACCAGCGTGGCGAAGTATGGCCAGACAAATCCACGTGACCTACATTGCTGTGGGGAGACTTTCATCCACCAGCAGAATTCACAAATCGCACATTTAAAAAAATATATATTATTTTCAGACAATGAGAACCCGCGCAACTGTTGCTACGTACGGCAGACTGTAAGTGACCAGCTCGGAGCTATGATATTTTTTTTAACACCCGATGCATTTGGAAAGATCTTCTACGAGCCAACGTCCGTAACGAGAACTTGGTCTCATTGCGACACTGCGGCTGACACGAACAATGCTGGCGGCCTTAAGTAAAGGGGGGGAGGGGGGGGGGGCAAGGGCAGAGCGAGCTGCCGAAGTAAAACACGAATCCCACACGGGGGGGGGGGTCCCCGCACGACTCGCCTTTGACGCAAATTTCCCTTCCCTGAAGAAGGGCGTTAGCAGCTTCACCACCAGGTCGGCGGCCACCTTCAGCTTGACGCCGCCGCCCTTCGCCCCTCCCGTTTTGTTGCTGATGGCGATGACGCTGTGGCTAGGTTCCGAGCGACCGCTGGGTTCCGAGTGACCGCTGGGTTCCGCGTCACCCCGAGTCCCGACGTGCACCTCCGCTGCAGACACTTTGGCGACTTTCCTGCACGTGGGGCTTTGGCCTTCCTCGTCCTGCAACGTCCGTGAAAGTGGGCACTTTGTAATAATTTACCCGAGGCAGGCACAGGCCTCGGCGTATGATAAAATGGTGTTGTCGAGAGACAATGTAACTTGCATTATGTAATATAACGAAACGTGGGTTTAAATATATATCTTCATTATGCAGTGTGTCTCCAAGGGCGATAACCGCATCGGGCGTCGGTAATCCTTTGGCATCTTACATGGTTCCTGTTATAGATATATATAGATACTGCATCTGAAGACGCTGTATAGAACAGCAATACGCGCACATTACAGGGACGCCAGAAGTACGATATTTTTTAAATAAAAGTATGACTGAAATCACTTTATATATGGGGGAAGAGTCAGGAGGTAGAGGAGGATCTTGAGCCTGGACTTCAACAGGGGCCAAAATGATGGCAGCACGGATGGCCAGGGAGAGATAATTCTAGACTGTGGGGCCAGTAGCAGCGAACGAGCGCGGTCCCATTGAGTGGAGGTCGATCGTGGGTTTTTCCAGGATGGCTTTTGTTGGCGCGGGGAGAGCAGATGTGCCCAAATCCGTGACCGACATTAAGATTTAATCTTACATTTACAATTTTAATTTCATTTTGCTTTCTGTTTGCATTGTAATATGTTTGTCTGCACCGACATTATGTATCATACCTTTGCTCACTCACATCTCAGGTGTAGTACAACTCAATTAGTGCTGTTTGGGTCCAGAATAAACACCTCATTCCTGGCCCAAACACATCATCGCAGCTCCTCATGGCTTTGACATCCCCCTCCTCCTCAAAGACACCGGTGCAACCCTCAACTAGATTTACAAAACCATCAGGCCGCTGCACACATCTCCTTCATGAATGAAAATTTAAAGACAGAGCACAGAAGTCCAGATGTGGCCATGCAACCCAAACGATGGACCGTACAAAAGTAAATCACTGCAGTCTGCGTTCCTTCAACGGAGGAATAACAAAAACTCCACAAACTCTTCCCTGAAGCCCTCGAGTAGACCTCAGCATCTGGTATTCAGTTCCTTAAAAATATTTTTGCCATCGTACACAAAGCGAGCGCTGTTTGTCGGCGACAACTTGGCATTTTGGGCTTGTGCACGGCAAAACTCCGATGAAATAAAATAAAGTCACCTCCTTACAAGAGGAGCCTCTTCTCACCGGGCCCTCACCCGATCGCACGGTGCACACGTCCCACACCCAAGGCTGTCACGTAAACAAACCTTGAAGCGAAGGCGCTTGAGACGCTGTGTGGTGTGCCGCCCCGGGAGCGCCATTTCTTTACTTGAGGCCACCACCGCACAGCTTCAACAAATCCACACATCTCGTTCACGTTGACATCCCCGCAACATCTCGCACAGCAGCCCTTGCTACACAAATATATGCAATTAGTAATTAGTTTTTTGTTCATCAGAATAAAACCAACCTCGGTTCTTCTCCCAGAAGAGCTGTTACGCCACCGCCGTCAACCTTGGCAGTAGTTGCAGAGGACGATAATCCATTCCCCCCGTGTGCTTCCCTTCCTCGAGTGCCACCCGTGAGAGATTCCGCGTCTCTGCCCAGCGGCATTCCCACACCACTTCCGGCATCGTTTGCCGTAACATCGGTCCCGTCGGCAGCGCCGCAAACTTGCACCTCCTGGCCCTGAGCCGCACCGCAGGCCTCTGCGGATGACTCGCCACCGCCATCGCCACCACCACCACCACCACCGGGGGCTTTCCTCTCAAACATTTTCTTGATGTCCTGCGAGTTCTTCCTGGCGGTATGGGCGAGGGCTTGCCGCTTCACAGACAGCTTGTCAGAGCCGGAGGGCTGTTGCTTCACCTGGTCGCTGCTGTCGGCAGCTTCCCGTTTAAGGTTACGCAAATTCACCTTCGCGAGGTGTCGGTCCGCGGCGTGCGCGCCGTCATTGCTGCCACCGCGACCGGAACGAGTGCCGTTGGTGGACGGCGCGGACTCTGGGTCCGAATCCCACTCGGTGGTCACGTCGTGGGAACTCGCCGAATTAGAACCAGCGGGGATCTCGGGACCCTGGGAACTCGCGAGCTTGAGCAAGTAGGAGGCCTTCTGGAAAGACTGGCTGCTCAATGTAGGCTGAACGAGGCTTGTGCGACTGGTTTTTTTCTGGAAGCAGAGAAAGAGTTCACAATCAGTTTTTGGGTGAACAAACGTCAGTAAAAAAAAAAGACTTAATTTACTTCTATGATGAGGCAAGAATGTCTGTGTGTCCCGCGCGTGACGCCACTCCACGTTGGCCAGCCCCCCTCATTAATAATCATGGACAGGTTACGTCCTTCACATGGACCCCCCCCCCTCATTAATAATCATGAGCAGGTGACATCACTCCACATCGAACAGCCCCCCTCATTAATAATCATGAACAGGTGACGTCCTCCAAATGGACACCCCCCCATTAATAATATAATAATTAGCGGGTGACATCACTCCACATGGGAGGGCGAGGCGCCTCCTCCCCCCTCCTCGGCTTCAACTTACAACCCTCACTACAAAGGCAGAACCCTCACGTCACGTGATCTCCGTAACGCTGTTGAGACATCAAAGTAAAAAAGACGTCATGATGAACAAGGGATTATAACCTTTAAATGAAATAGGTCTGTGTCACCGCGGCCTTACAAATTGCACACGAATTGATGCAATGAATATCACGTCACGGTCTGCTTTTCGGTTGCAAGTTTCAGGTTTACTGCAAATACACCCGTCCTTGGACGGGCAAAAGGCTAGTATACACACACATATACGGTTAATCCACTGCTAAGGAAGCAGTCTATAAGCAGATGTTGCTGTGCTGTCCACCATGATGAGAGAATTTGTCAAAACCGGTCCAGAGTTTTCTTGTTTTGAATCGATGCTGCTGAGATTATGCACTCCCAGAAGGCTGTGGCGCTGATGGTTGAGTAAAAAAAAATTACTTACATTTTTTACGTTGGAGAGACATTTATGTGAAGGAGACGTATTGCCTGCTCATCGATTTTGGGACTTATATTTCTCCACGACGCCAATAATGTTTTTGCTACGTTACTATTAACAGTGCATTAGGTTACCCTGATCCTCTGCCTAAGGCACTCTTTGCCCAGACAGCGCAGCGGTGCGTAGCCTGCGAGCGCTTGGAACCACGTGGCCCGACAGTGGTCGTAGCGGAATGACCGTCCGGGGAGTGTGGGGAGAGTGGGGTGGGGGGGGGTGCGGGGCATCGACTCACCGAGTAGAAGGAGGAGGACTGCGAGGAGGCCTCGAGCGACGAGCGGCGTTGTTCCTCCAGCAGGGCGCCGTTCAGCAGGCCTCGAGCCCACACCTCGTGGGGACGGGCCTCCTTCGTGTGCTGGCCGATCTCCGCCACCTTCACCAACACGATTCGGCAACGGCGCGGAGCATCGCTTAGCTGGCGCTGACATTTAATATTTTGTTTTAATTTTATACATCCCACAACGCTTTACGTTAATTATACACGAGAGGCCATGTCCTCTTGATAGCAACTGCCAAGCAAACCCTCAGAAAGTATGAATGAATAAACGACGCAAGAAATGGCTCAAACAACAAAAACGTTATCACGACAGAGACATTTGTCCAGAAAGTTACATCGCAGGCCACAATCCCAACTTCTCACGCACCACCGAGCGAAGGGTGCATCGCTTAGCCAGCGTTGACATTCAGACACGCTTAGCTGGCTCGCATACTCGTAAATTAATATTTTAAACATGGCAACGTTCCTAATGTTGGCAACATCAAGGTGATTGTGTTCATTAAAATCATCATAATATACATTTATACTGGAGGAATCCAATGAGCTGTAAAGCTCTTTTTCACATGTCCAGTCTAGGCGGGTAAGAACGTTACAACAACAAACAGTACAAAAACATGATAGGAGTGCAAAGTGCAAGAGAGGTAAACAAATCACACAAATAAATACAACACTGAACCATCCCCCATCCTACCAGGCAAAGCCCACTAAGGCATTAACTTATTTATCAGAAGCGACCTGGCCACAAATGATAGCTCAAAAAAGTGGCCCCATCATTTGGACATTTATAGCAGCAAAATAACCAGGTGGTGAAAATTCAACGAGACCAGGATGAGTCTCATTTGTACGAGAGACCCTGTGGTATTTGTCTGCCAGCAGGGGTGAATGGCAACAATTGCTAGGATTAATCACGACTGAGTTATGGGGGTAATTATTCGTGGGTAATGAGAGCGACACACATCTTGAAGCTGGTAACAATTAAAACACCAACCATTGTCTGGACACTTAAGACGTTCATCTTCTTTGGTTCTTTCGGTAAAGTCACGTAGAATGAGAATAAAATAATAAAATAAAATAAGACAATAAAATTCTCACGACGTTTCGGCCACAACACAAGTAGCCTTCTTCAGGTGAAGGAACAAAACTGTCGCTGTCGGGACGACAGGTTTGTTCCTTCACCTGAAGAAGGCTACTTGTGTTGTGGCCGAAACGTCGTGAGAATTTTATTGTCTTATTTTATTTTATTATTTTATTCTCATTCGACGTGACTTTACCGAAAGAACCAAAGAAGATGAATCCTTGCAGTTACGAAAGCTTTAAATCGAAACTTAAGAGGTTTTGATTGAAATGCTGGTTACTTAAATACTTGCCACCACAACACACAATAAAAATTTCCAACCCATTGACCGACAGTTGGCCATCTTACCTTCTTGAGACACATTGCCTTGTACAGGTTAGACATTTTGCTGGCCTTGAAAATCTCATATTCCAAATCGATGGCATAGCTTCTGGCATCGACATCCCCTCTGTCGCGAGCGCCGCTATCCAACACAAACACACAGCAACAGCAGCAGACGGGGATTTCAATAAGATAATGAGGTCAAGAGAGCCATGTCAACATGCCCTGAAGATAAATAGAGAATGTTGTCGATTGCAACCCGTTAATAGTATCCTAATCAGATACCCAGCATTACTTTAAAACGTTTCTCGTTCAAATTATTTACTTTGTTTGCTTAATTATCGAGGAAACACACCCACAAAACAACTTACAGCGGCACACACATACACACCATTACACCCTTACACACTCACACACTACCAAAGACAAAGATCTTATGTGCAGCATACACAGAATGTGGGGGCCAATTCTGATAATGAGCACCGATGAAGGCCGGTACGGCACACGAGGTGGTGGTGTGGCCAGCACCACGCCTGGCCACCTTTGTATCCCCAGTGCTGACAATTACAGCCTACACCAGGTACTCATTTAAGGCTGAGTCGATGTAGGAGAGGGCCCAGGACTGGCTCGGATTTTCGTCACTGATGCTGGCCACGAGCGGGAATTGAACGTGGGTCGCCGCGTTTGTAGCGCATTGCGGCTAACCACGACACTGCCGCTCCGCCTCACACCACAAGACAAAGATCCTCCGTACCGCCGTCACAGAATGTTGGGGCAAGCGCTATTAGCGGGTACCTATGAAGGCCGACACGGTACATGAGGGGGTGAGTGGCCAATATCACGCCCGACCGCATTTGTCTCCCCAGTGGCGATGATTTTACACACCGCACCAGGCACTCGTTTGAGGTTGAATTGACCGAGGGGAAGCCCAGGACCGGTTCAGAGCGGGGAACCGAACGCAGGTCACCGGGTTCGTAGCGCAGCGCACTGACCGCTACGCTACCGCTCCCCCTCACACCACCACACGCACGCACGCCAAAATTAACCCCCCCGGAAGGTTCAAGGACACGAACCCAGCTGATTGGGTGCAGCAGGTCTCGTTACCCTCCAGGGCCTCCAGCAACTTCTGCATGCAGTGTTCACGCACCTGCACACAGCAAAGGACACCGCACACCGGCAACGACTGTCGTGCAAAAAAAAACATTACTTGGTAACAGGGCAGGTGGGAAAAGTGCTGCCCCATGGTATTGATCAGGGATCTCGGAAGTAGTTCTGCAACATCCGCCTCCGCCGACCTCGACTTGGGAATGTTCGTCGCACGACGACGTTGACACCAACGGCGCAGTTGAGATAAAAGTTGGGGGGGAAAGGAAGCGAATGCTACCGTGCAGGTTTTTCACGGTTGTCCTGGATAGCTCTCTCCGACGTACGTCAAGGTTGTTGTGGTGGCATTAAAAGGGTGGCGAATTAACACGCTCGGTGACAGCGCGCGCCACGAAAATGTGCCGGAGAGGTACAAGAAAAGTAATGTGTTTTGAAAAGTCCTTCCTTCCAAATGCACACACACGCGCTCACTGCTGAACCACTGGAGGCCAGCAGGCGTCACGATTAAAAACTTTAGGAAGGGAATCATTTGGGCTTAATATACCTTGACGGTAAGCTTGGATACCTTCCTGCTGGAAGCATCTAGGAGAGGGCAGTCGGGGTCTGAAAGACATTCACAAACGTGTCCATCATTGTTAGATCCCAAGTGGCTCCCCAGGTTATCTGCCCCCTCCCCACCCACCTGGGGCCTGGTGGATATTCGCGAGCGGTTGTTTTTTTGTCCCCCGACGGGCCTTTTTCAGTGGCGGCCTACGTGACATGTGCACTAGGTGGGGCTGGTGGACACTTGGTGTTCTCATTAAGAAAAACACCTCATCATGTTATTGGCCTTCCCATGAAACTTATGTAACCGTGTTATCTACCAACGGTGAGGCATTTATAAACGGTACGAAACAAAACAACAAAGCACTAAAATGTTGTCTCCATGACCCACAAAGTCCACACTACACAACCCCTTTGACACTGCCAAAAGCGTACAGCGTATAGGCCGTGACCTACTACTAAATTTGCACAGTGCAACCTCGCGTTGTGATTACAGCCATGGGCGCCGTTTTTACCGTCCTGAATGGGTCTCAAACAGCGCGGCTAAAATGCTAGAAGCTGATCGCAATGAATGAAGGGAAATCTCTCACTCGGACGCCTTCACAGCCACCCCGAGACCTCCCCGAGGCACAAATCAAGACTGCGTTGCAGTGGATTCTTACATGAACAACTTAAAATGTTATCTTCTTTAGGCAATTCACGTTGAAAGAATCATTATATCTAGATTTTTTCAAACACAACTTAATTATTTATAGAAAAGTATTGTTATTAGAAAAATTATCTCATCTCCAGCTGCTTTGTGGGGTGGGCACCCCAACACCCCTAGCGGACGAACCTCGCCTGGCCTTTGTTCTTGTGTACTGAAAACATTTCATTAAAAACATCCCAAGTGGCTTCGTTAACTGAAATTGCTACGGCATGTTTTTCTCTCTTTTTTCTCTCCAAATTACAATTAAATTAAATAAAAACGAATAATCGAAGGGCACAATCTAGCACAATACGTTTCAGCATCGTGTGAGAATACATTTACCGTACCCACAACCGTGTTTTTCAAAACTCAAGAGGATAACCACTGCGGAGATTGGATTGATAAATTCCGTGTGGGCAAGAATGAGTTTGGTGGTAGCATAGCAGGACCGTGAGGGATGGCGAGGGTGCATGCAGACCTTCGTCCAGCAGCGGATACACAATGGCTGATACGATCATGATGTGTGCCAGTTTAACTTCTTTCACACCGATCGTAGCCAACCGCGCTAATCGGAGGTGCGGGGGAAGAACAACAAACTAAATGTAAAAAGCAGTGCTAAAGAAATGAGTTTTCGATGACGATGATGAAAACTTCTAAATGCGATGGGCATCTCTAAATTTTATCGTGAGGGGACAAGCGCATTTGAAATTTGAAAGTCTGGTTTAATTACAGGTGACAGACACTCAAGATTGAAACCCAGGATATCTCAGGAGACCTATGCCGGCTCAATGTTCTCACACGGAATTATTATTTCCTCCCAGCAAGTCACCCAACGCTCCGTACTTTACAGTCGGCCACTTCACACAAGCGGAGGGAGGGGGGAGGAGAGGGGAAACAACTTTTCTGCGAGAAACACTTCGCACGCAGCACACTTACCTGGGGCCGAAAAATTGTCTGCATCTTCACTCTGCAAGAGACGCGCAAAAGGGAGATGGGTGTCATCCTTAAGCATTACGAAGTGCATAGCAAAAAAACAACAACACTTTCGACAGTAATTCTGTCTTTAAAGATGTACATTAGGCATAATTTCTATGGAATGCCACTTCTTCACAGCACATGCCTCTCTGTGCTGGGGGGAAGGGCTGCTGCTGCCCCCAAACGTCGCCGTTTATACGGATGTGTTCTTCCCTTTGAAGGCGCACCGGCTCGTGTCAACGAACACAAAAGCCCAAGGCGTGAAAGTGAATATACGCGACAGGAAAGTGACTGTACATGATGCATGCCATTCACAGGCCACGATGCTCTCAAGTCTTGCGTCTCACGTCTTGCAGATGCTGTTAAGTAAGACTGCACAGCCTGAATTGTACTGGCCAACGGCTACTCCGCCTGGCCATGACCGGCAGGCAGGTTCACGCGCAGTGGCTATGAACAACACTCTCCAGCTTGGCTCACTTGTACCGGTCACTTGAGCTGTACCAGCTGACTCATTTTTTTATCAGCTGATTGGCTCAGCAGCGCCAGCTGATGAGTTAACACACCTGCACCGACGGCGCTGCTGCGACACTTATACCACCCGACACACCTACACTCGCTGAAACACCTACACCGGCTGACTAAACATGACAACCCGAACCATCTGACTCACCTGCACAAGCACGACTCGCCTGACATACCTGCACAAGCACGAGTCGCCCGCAACAGCCGACTAACCCCCAAGCCAGCCGACTCACCCATCGCGCCTGCACAAGCGGGGAAGTTCACCGTGAAGCTGAAAGACCGACCTTGCGTAGGCTGATCTGGTGCCGATACAAGTCGTTCCACTCCTTCTTAAGCCTCAACGCCTCCTCCTGGTTGCCACTGCTGCTGCCGCCTTCATCATCTTCTTCATATCTACAAACCAACAGGGGAGGGAGGGAAAATCGCTTTCGAGGCAGGGAAAGCCCCTCCCGCGCTTCGTCGCAAAGTCACGGTGCTCTTTTATGAATAAACTGCAGACGGATTCAAAGCGATATCCGGTACCGGAAGCTACAATAATAGCTTTCGTGTCGTTGATTTAGCGTGTTTTGTGTTAGCAAGGCATTTGTTTCACGTAGATTTTATTTATTTCAACAGGAAGATCCCAATGGAGCTTCCTCGGCTCCATTTCATGGCTCGTCCTTGCAACGACGGCACAGATATCGTTCAGTAGAGATCTTGGTTACAATCGTGGTTACATAGGTCGCGATACAAACAGCAAGTATCGGTACGTGTTTCACGCGTTACAGGAATACGGAACTTGTCAACTTGTCGAAAACACAATATAATTTAACAATGAAAGTAACGCGTTTCAGGAGCGAGCGGAGGTTTCTCACGGTCGGCAATGATTTAACCCCCCAAAATCCAACGTGACGACAGTGATTCCACAACAGTCCGTTAAGACTTTGGTCGGTGGCTCCTCACGGATCCCGCCCCCCCCCCCCCAACCCAACACAGATCGAAACCGCCCGCCGCAGTTACCGCTCAAAGCCGTATCCACGCCGGCCCCCGGCGTACAGGTCCCGGTCGAAGCCGAAGGGGCCGCTCGCCTTCTGCGGCTGCTGGATGGCGGTTCGACCAAAGGATTTGCTCGACCCCACTTTCTGCAGCGCGTCCAAATCCTGGACGACCAACGCCGAGTCCTTGCAGCTGTCGCACGCGCTGCGGCAGTCGGCTATTTTGTCTCCAAAATACTGAGCTATCGCTTTGTGCCTGCACCTGCAGTCAGCATCAGGGACGGCGGAAAGCAACGGTGGCGAGGAATCGTCGGTTATCGTACGTCAGCCCGGAAATGAAGTGCAAACAGGCAAATTATGCTCCCATTAATTGTGTTTGCTTATTTATTTTCGAGGTTTTTAGCATGGACCGAGAAACAATATCCTTCAAGCGTTAGGGAACGGGCTGTGGAAGGGGTTATCACAGAACTGCTACCTCCGTCCATTCAAGTGACCTCTTTGTTAAAGATAAAAATGTTGCGTTGATATGGCGGCGATTCCAATAAACTGACGATTTGGGTGCGCCAAGCGAAATCTGATCGTCTGTGAAATCCGATCAATATTTTTTATTCACCTGCCAGTTCATGTTGTTTTGTTTTCAATTAAAATCTTGTGAGTGATGCACAGGACAACGGTTTATCGTTGTTGTGCCCGGGATGAATTTTTGGTTCCCAAAATTCAATGCAACTTCACGATAAGATTCATGTTCACGAGCGACTTTACTAGAGGTGTGACATTTGAATCAATTCAGCTCTTTTTTTATCTTCAAACAATTCACAATGTCTGTTAACATCCCCCAAGTTGCACACCAGTTTTTTTTTTTTACAATAATTATTCCCTTTCGGAATATTTTAAAAGACACAGGTCAAATGTACGGATAACATATCCCCCTTAACGGAGAAAAAAATATTAACATCTCATCGGATGTTTAGGATGCAGTGGCACTATGGCAAGCACCGTTCACTGCGTTATAAACCCAGAGACGTGATCTTCCGATGACCAGCTAACATCGGTGGTGAGGGATATATCCGATCCAAACTTTGGGCCTCCCTTCGCAGATCAGAGTAAAGTGTGTCCACACATCACATGTAAGCCCTTCACATGGTTGAGAGGGCCCTCTGGTGGGAAGTTTGGGAATAATTTATAGAACGTCAAACCACTCCAATAGTTACAACTCAGAGCGCGTTCGTTCGGCGGCGATTTTATGTCCCTATCATCAGTTTTGGAAAACATCCTAAAAGTATATAGTTAAAGCTTTTGTTAGGCTATCATTAGATATGCTTTACTAATATTTATACTACGTGCAGGTACCGCTCCTGCCAAGTATATCGATTGAACACAATTATAGTTTTGCTTTAACATCAGGGCTCCACTGAACTTAGGCCAGTTTTGATGTGAAGAGAGCCGGGGAGCCCTTATTGCTCTATAAAAAATAATCTTTATTTATTCAATAAATGGAGTTCTCCGATGGTAATGGCTTGTGGAAAAATAACCGTAAATGTAGCCTCTGTTGCCTGTGAACTGCTGATGCTACCTCGGGTACTAGTGGCCACCACTGTACGTATGTTCAACTTCTTTCGCACCATATGTAGCCAACCACGCTAATCGGAGGGCGTTTGCCGCATGTTGCAGAGATTCATTGATCAAATCCAGCGGCCGCCATAATTATTACCGTCGGTGGACTAGCCGTAAATATCCCCCGATGTCATTCGCAAGAGCAGGCCCACTCGCTGTTGTGATGACGTTGACATCCAAATTTGCTATATTTAGAAAATCTACCTGCAAATTACTCAATTGGAACGATACACAGTAAACTGTCGCCCCCTCCTACTGGTAGAGTACTGCCCCCATTTGCTGGCCAGGTGCCGAGTCACCTTGTGTCCAATGGGGGCAGCTGCCACTGGGGATGCCATCCTTTCAAATAAACATTTGGGATGAGCTGTGATGTTAAGTGCTTTCAGATACGCCAGAGTACGGGAGGGCACTATATATGTGTAAAATAAAATCACGATCATGAAGAACTGTACATTCATTATTATCAAGCTTTGAGTGCAACAACGATTGCAAATGTTGGCTCCACGCGTTGACGCGTATGACCACACGTTTGAAAAGGCTTACCCAAGTTTCTCACAAAAGTTGACCAACGCTTCGAATCCAGCCATGGCTGCCTTATCGGTTTCTGAAACCTTTCCTGTATCATCCTGGAACACAGAGAAAAATACTTTGCACTAATCTGACAAAAGCATAGAATCATAGTAGAATAGATTTTGCTGAACTGCCCTCCCGCTGAATGCAACTGTCCAACTCATTATTATTCTTTACCGTTAGCATCCATTGTAAACTCAGAATTCCTCACGTTACAAACAACGCAAACCAAATATTTCACACGCATGAACGGGACGTCATAATAAGAGCACGCGTGATAAAAAAAATAGATTAAAAGGCTTACCCTTTTTTTCTGGGAGAAGAAATAGTGAGGGAGAGAAACACACACAAGAGAAACATGTTAGAGAAGGCCATGCACGTGACATAGGCGGTGACTCAGCGGCACCACCACACGACTGCATCAGAATGTCAGAATGAGAATATGTAATCATATGGGGAGGAATCTGATGAGCTATAAAGCTCTTTTTCACAGATGTCCAGTAGGGGCGGGTAAGAACGTTACAACAACAAACAGTAACAACAACACGTGATAAGAGTGCAACGTACAAGAAAAGTCAACAAATCACACAAACAAATACAACACCTGAACCATCCCCATCCTACCAGGCAAAGCCCACTGAGCTATTCACTTATTTTTCTAAGCGACCTGGACACAAATGACAGCTCAACAAAGTGGCCCCATCATTTGGAGATTTATAGCACCAAAATTATCTAAATAATCTCAATGTAAGTTTCTAAATGTGGAAGGAAAAACCGAAAGACCCAGAGAAAAAAATCCACAGGGAGAGACACGCAAACTCCAAATATAAAGGCGTCAGGGTCGGGATCGAAACCCCGACCTCCTGCATACCAGGCGAGGGAGTTAATATCTCACCACCGAATCGAAAACAATTTCGAACAGAATCGTGTGGAAACAACCGGGTGCCTGGTCAGCCTAGTAGAATCGCCATAGAATCTTATGGCCAATGGCCTAAATTATTCGACCCCAGCTGGAATTGACCCTGACACCAGCTGGCTAATATCAACCACAATTACCATGGCCGATGCCTAGTGGGCAAAAAAGACATAGCCTGATATCCACCCCAAATTCTGCCATGGCAGTCATGAGAAAAGTAAAAAAAAACACAACAGCATGTTATTATAGTGAGTGCTGCATATGCCCATAGGGCTTGGCTGTGGATAGACTCGTGATGTAAGACCTTGCTTGCAGCGATGTCTTTGGAGATGAGGAAGCTGACTTGGCCCCGCTCCTTACGGCAGTAGTAGAGGCGGCAGAAGGCTGGCTTCCCGTCCCTCCCCGCTCGCCCTGATTCCTGGTAGTACCCGGCCATCGACTTGGCAATGTTCCAGTGGGCCACGAATCTTTATATACAAGCATCGCACACAGGACGACAGGTCCAACAACACAACCATCAGATGCCTCCTAATCATGTTAAATTGATGACCACACTTAAAAACCAAGTTACGAATGCCATCGTTGCTTCAGATAAGGTTTTGAGCACACATTTTTAATATTATTCAATTGGGATTACACACAGTCAGGACCCTCCTGAAAAAGTAACGAGTATCGGCAAAGACTTTCCTCCTTAAACACGCATAATTACAATATAAAGAACAAATAATCAATCACCAATACACGCACGGTCAATGCGTGTGGGGATGAACGAAAGAGGCAATTTCAAAATGATGAATTTATGCATCATAACACACGCGGTGTGTGTTACCTCCCAACTGCCATTGAGCAATGCCCGGTGCAGTGCAGAGCTCCAACCTGACATTGGCCTTGTCCACACCCATGCCAAAGCTGATGGTGGCCACAATGACGGGCGTCTCTCCCTCCATCCACTCAACCTGCACCTTGCTTCTGTCGTCCGTCTTCAAGCCTGAAGAAGCACAACAACGGCCGACGATCCTGCGGCACTTGTTCAACAAAGCGCGACTCCGCCGGTGAGACCCAGAAGGTCGAAAAAAAATGCCCCAGGGTTCGTGCTCGCTTAAAAACAAATGCCGCTTGAAAATATTGGCCGAGTTAAGTCCAACAGGCCAATGGACTAAAGGAATTGTGTTATTTACGTATATTCTCATTAATGTTTATATTCTCACCAATGGTAAGCGAAATCTTAAGTCACAAATCAATGATGAATGAGCATTATGAAATAAATAACAGTCTCAGAAGGCGATCCAAAAAGAAGGCTTCAATTTGTCTGGGGGGAAAATACCATACCTCCCTAAGAATGCTCAGTCAATCCTGACTGTATCAGGCATTAACTCAACGTATCCCGAGTGTCAGTCTGACTTACTTAGATTCAGCCCTTCAGAATGAATCCTAAGAATTCCAAAGGGGTCACACTCTGGCTATGGAGCACTGATGTTCACACATAACACCAGGTACGCAATTAAGTATGAGTCACTTTAGGGGAAAGCCCAGGACTGGTTTTGTTATCACTCAGCACTGATGTTAGGCATGGTCCAGAATCGAACTAATGTCGCCAAATTTCGCAAAAGTAGGCTACTCACTGTAAAACAGCTCTACGCAGAGCTACACATGCACACAGGTGCAGCAATAAGACATCCCCACCAGAAGCTTCCTTTGAAATAGAATGAAAGTGACCGCTTAAGAATATGCAAGCACTCAATAAAAGAGGGCACACACCTGCATGGTAAGCCTTGGTCTTTACCCCTCTCTTGGTGAGCTCATGGGCCAACATGTCGCAGGATTCTCTGGTGCGAGAGTAGACAATCCCACTGCCATCAAAGCCCTAGCACGCGGCACAAAGACAAAGATTCCCCATTGATCCTTTGTCAAACTGCTGGGGCAAGTGCTGTTAGTGGGCACCTATTAAGGACAACAAATGATACCAGGGGGTGGTGTGGATTGTATCAAGCCCTGCCAACTTTGTCTTATAAATTCTGACATTTACTCGCTGCAAGATAATGAATGTTTTAAAGTTCGAGTCAACCTCGGGGATTGCCCAGAGCCGGTTCATCGCCAGGAATAGAACCCCGATGTAGAAGCAGTCACAAGACATGTAATGCAAACAATGGTCCAATGGTCACAGTAGCCATGCTTTTACAGCACACAGAAACAATTCACGGCAGGATATTTCAATATTTTATTGTTTCCCTTCAACGTGACTTTACCGAAAGAGCTAAGAATAGGATATATATTGTTACAAAGTGAATAAGCAAAATTTGACATCCAAATGTCAACCATATGCTGGGTTAAGGGTGTCGCTCATTCCGTTGCGGGTTCATGAAAGAGCAGGGGGGGTGGCCCAGGACTGGTTTAGAGATCACTTGGCACATATATTCGCTGTGGCTGGATATCAAACTCAAGTTACCAGGTTCATAGTGCAGTACACATTGCTGCTTAACTGCTCCTACTTTATTTCATGTATTATTACACTTTTACCTAGGAAAAAGACTCATGACTCTTTTTCAGGAGGGTTTCTGCAATGTTTTTGCAGAAGGAGAATGATGATTGTTTATACTTCAATAGTTATTTAGAGGGTTTTTTTTATTCAAACAAAGTAGGACCATGAAACTGATACAATGGAATACTGTGAATGACATCGCGGGATCTTGAACGTCCACTGTGAAGCAGAAGGCGCATCGTATGTTTACGGTTAACACACGCCCGGTAAACAATAACCGGTTATAACCATTCAAGTAAAAACTAAATTTAAACTATTTTTTATTTTACCAGGTAAGGTCCGCTGAGCGATGCAGCTCTTTTTCAGAAGCACCCTGACCACAAATCATCGTTCAACGAAGTGGCTCATCATGTGGAAATGTATAGCAGCCACAAATACTCTAAAACTCCTGTTTCTAAATGTGGAGGGGAAAACCAGAGGACCTGGAAAACAATCCACGCCACCACGGGGAGAGAATGTGCAAACTCAAAATATACAGGCGTCAGGGTCGGGATTGAACCCCCAACCTTTTGTATACCTGGTGAGGTTAGTTAACATGGCACTTCCACCATGCTGGGGCAATAATATCATTGCCCCAGCAAAAGCCCCTCAATGCTAACCTTCCCATTGGAGTTGGCTGAACATCCCAAATGTAGGACCACAAAGCTTTGGCAATCGCTGGTGTTGGTTCCAGCTGCCTCCCCGCTTGTTTCGTGTTTTATTGCGCCACTGTGCGTGTCACAAATTCTACGGCACTTTGAAATACGATTTGCATGACGCTGTGTAAAATCATTCATTTGTATTAACGTATCAATCTACCTAGACGAACGTACCCCAGCTGCATTCTTCTTTCCCAGGGCTTTGAGGCAGAATTGCGTAAGGTCCTTGTAAGGGTCCTGAATGACCTCCTTGTAGCTCACGTTGTAAAAGAGGTTTGGCCGAAAGCAGGAGCTTTTGAAAATCGCCGGCTTGTCCAGGCTCAGGATAGACACAATGTCCTCTTGTACCTGCGAGAAGTAAACAAAAGAAAAAATATATGTTCAAGTTATGTAACTCGAGCAGCAAACTGCATGCTCCCAAATACCTCCGCAACCTTCCAACTTGTTTTTCACCCCATTGTGGATTCTTGTTTCCAGCTGCTTTCATTTTCTCCCATTCATATTCTTTATTTTATCACACTGACCAAACAGTTCAAGCCAGACTTACCCGACTTAACTTCTTGACACTCTGGTATAAAGTCCCATCTCCAACTCGTATATCCATTATACCCGTCTCTGAGCGATGAAGAAGGGCCATTGCCCGAAACGTCAACCTATTATATATTTTTCCTGTTTAAGGTCACAGTGTTCAAATGCACAGGGTTGGAGATGAAGGTTTTGAGGAGACTTGAAAGCAAAGAGAGGGGAACAAGTTGATATGCCTGTGGAGGTAATCCCTGAACACACAATCAAGAAGCTATGAAAAACTGATATCACGTTGTCATAGCATGAAATATGACATCACACACAGTGTCGTGAAAAAAATATACAATGGCAACCCTTAGTGCTATTTAAAAACGATCATGTGACACCGCTGGTGGTCCTCACCTGGGTAGAGCACTGAGCCCAGTTCTCCCCCTTCGCCGGGTCCTGTCGCGACGAGCTCGGGCTGCTGTTAGCGGAATTTCTGTTACCCCCTTTGGCCGGTGACCGGCGCTTTGTTTCGGGCTCGTGTTGAGTTGACAAAAAATAAATGTCAACGGTCTGGCAGGAAGGCACGCACCTGTTTTGTGGCCGTAGCGGTCAGCGCAACGCAGGGCACGCCACGCAGCAGGGACCTCAACCGGCCCAGCTTCAGGTAGTCGGGCCGGAAGTCGTGACCCCACTGGGAGACGCAGTGCGCCTCGTCCACCACCAGGCAGGACAGCAGCTGGCGCGACGCCAGCCGACCCAGGACGGCGCCGAAGCTGTGCGTGGCGGCCATCTCGGGCGTGATGTAGAGCATCTTGAGGCTCGGCGGGTCGGCGTGGAGGTCCTCCACCACCGCCTGTCGCTCATGCGCTCCCATCTTCGAGTTGAGCGTCCGCGCTGGGATATTGAGCTGGTGCAGGTGATCCAGCTGGTCCTGTGTTCAGTGGAGACATTTGTTTCTAACTGCGATGCTGGAAGTGCTCTCCTAAGGGAAGGGTTAGAGTTTTTTTTAAGGACTAAGGTTAGAAAAAGATGCATACATACTAGAATGAGAATACGATGAACACTCATCATTATTATCATACTGCCAATTTATTATCACAATCAGACTTCCTGAATGAAGGCCTCCCCACGCTGCCAGCAATCCCTCGTGATCCTGTGACATATCAATCCACCTAACACTTTTGCCCACAAGCTGATTTCAACACTCCATCTCTTCAGCGGGTGGGGGAAAAAATTTTACTTTAGGAAATGGATTTTTAGGTACGTTTAACTTCTTTCCCACTGTACGAAGCCTGCCGTGCTAATTGGGAAGTGCGGGAGAAGGACGACAAACAAAACACAACAAAAACGTAACCTGGATGAGGGCAATGAGTGGACAGATGACGAGGGAGACCCCGGGCGCCATGACCGCTGGCAGCTGGTAACACAGCGACTTCCCCGCCCCGGTCGGCATGGAGACGAACACATCTTTGGTGCCTAGACACAGCAACACATGGGCAAAAACTTAACTCCTGCCGGCTCTAATACCTCTTTCGCCAGCCCGCACCAACCACTGTGGTTATGTGCAGCCAAACAAACCCCGTGTATGTATGTTGAACTTCTTTCGCATGGTACGCAGCCAACCATGCTAATCTGAGGCGCGGGAGAAGGCCGCCGCATGGGGGAGGCTTTCAACCAGCAGTGGAGTTACAATTGGCCGTTCATGTGGATTCTACACAAACACACAACTACAGTAGTCCAGGTTGAAGACCGTGCCGAATGAAGCGCAGTGCTGAATTTAAAACAACGCGGAATGGCTGCTGCCGGATGCGGTTAAAGCTCTGGCCTCTGTAGTCACTTGTACAGCCTCAGATTAATGCAGCAGCACATTCAGCAACCCTACGAGCGTGTATAACTTTGTTTAATGCGGGCAGGGGTTTACATGCGAACATTTATGCGGGCGTGATACAGTCAATGTTCAACTTTAAAACTAACGTTAGCAAGGCCTTTATAATTAGATGCAGGGAAGCAAGCTGTAGCCCAAATACACAAGTATCTTCCACGGCTGTGTTTTCAAAGCTTACATACTAATTATGCAGTTCATAATTTATATGGGGTGAATACGTCATACAAAGGGACAGCCAATCATGTCAAATCATCCCAATTCAGGATAATAACTGCATCATTGCACTTTTTCAGGACTTAGATTTCTAGCCATTTATAAACACATCTTTTAAAAATCTAACACGAATACCTCTAAAAACTCTGCATGTGCAAATAATGTTTCTCGAATCCAAAACAAAATATCCTGTGTATAATGTTAGTCCTTTGGTCAATCCACCGCTGGACTAAGTATCTGGAGATAAACCTTCTGATCTGGCTTCACTGGGTTATGGCATTTTGCTTAATTCGCTTCATGCGCCAGAATCCATACACGTGGTGCAGTGCTGTGTCACAGAAGTCACAGTGGGGCCACGTGGCACCATCACCCCCCAGGGACCCACTGACCACGTTACGTACTTATACAGGGATAGTCAAATCGGATCATGCTTTATCGTTCAGGCAGGTGACAACCGAACGGGATCAAAACGTCTGTTAATCAAAAGTGCGTTACGCAGGCGAATGCAATAAGAACACACAAGCCTGAGACATGCACAAGTGCGAATTGCAATTAACGTGGGAGGGGGGAGGGTGGTGCACTTTGCTGTTACACAGCACGGTTCTGAGACATGACCGCGGGTAGTTTTGAATTTCTTGAAAAGATTTCAAAGTCATACGTGGGACGCCACGACGGTTGTTTCATTGGACTATGCCAGCGTTCTTCATTGCAAAGGCCCCACGGGCCACTACTGACGGGCCCCTGGTGGCCTTTAGTGCGGCCCCAGACAATACACAAAGAGTGAAAACACCACCCCAACCACCATCATCATCATTGTCGTGTTGCCGTCAAACCCAACAATGGTTTCAAGTGGCGTGGTTGGAAACCCCCTCACGCTGATGATGTCCTATCGGAGAAGGTGTCCCTCCACTCCGAAGATGCGTGAAGAACACCGCACCACAAGTGATGTATTGCACTCCAGCGTGGATAATAAACAAGGCGGTGCTGTTGTCACGGTGCGCACCACCGGGACATCAAGAAAATCCAGACGCGGTGCGCACTTCGGGAAATAAGTAATACATTAAAAACAACTTTAAAAAATAAAAACATCTTTAATGAAATGTACCGTACTTTAAATGGAATAACTCCACGACTCCAGGACGTGGCCCCGAAGCTTGCCACAACGTAAGGGGACCGTGGTGATTAACAGCCAACGTCAGTTGAGCGTGGACAATTAGAGCCAAGCCGAAAGAAAACATATAAAAAATAATGTTTTAAAATACTGTATATGTTTTTAATGATAGAATATAGTATTATCATCAGTATGACATAAGTATACCAAGTTTGCAGTCGATACCTCATTGAGAAGTGGGTTAAAGTTGAGTTACAAGATTTGAGGATACAACAACAGAGTGAGTTAAATAAAAATCGTGTAATAATTTAAAGAGGAAGACGTTGTGGGTGCCCTCGTTTACTTTAGGGGCCCATGCAGCCCCCCACTTGCCCGGTGCAACTTCAGCGGTTCCAATCTCTCTCTGTACGTGGACGACGGAGAGATGAATGTGGACAAAGCGTTGGGTGATTCGGTAATTAATTCGTATAAGCCACACTAAAAAAATATATATACATTGGTCCGGTACTACCGAAGTTGGAACACGTAGCAGGCTTTCGCGACCAATATCATCCATAATAGACGTTGTTGGGTCAGATCGTGTAAATGAATAAATGTGTGTCGTTAAACCCGCCACCACCCGACACAGACAATTAGTAGGGTTTGTCACGCTGACTAATTGGGTTTGTCACGCTAATTGTCTGTGTCGGGTGGTGGCGGGTTTAACGACACACACACATAACTATATTTACGCGTTATTAACCCAAAAACCATCGATTACGGACGAGCAAAGTGTTTTGCTACCTTCGATGGTTACCAATCAATCAATCCATCTCCGCTTGTGGCCCATGGGCGAATAGTTTGGTAACACCGCACAATGTTAGGAGCGCTCCACTGGTCTGACCGGATCGACTCAATATCTCCCCCAGAGGGCCGTCCATAAATGACGTCACGCGATGTCGGACGATTTTTTTACACCCCCCCCTCAAATGACGTCACAAAGCTCTGCCCCCACCCTCCCAAAAAAATAAAACGTGCTTCAAATCGCTTTGAACTATTGTCATTGTATTCTTAGCTCTTTCGGTAAAGTCACGTTGAAGGGAAAACAATAAAATAATAAAATAAAACGTTGAAGGGAAAACAATAAAATATGTTACTATTTTGTTTTAATAAAAGAGCTAAGAATATCAATTACTGCAGTCACGAAAGCTTTAAATCAAAATGTATTGTCATTGTAGTGCGTATTTAATGTGGCGCTGCTGCACTCTGATGTTGTTGGAGAAAACATTAAAAAGTCTATTTAATTAAGTAGAACGCGTTGTCCATATTTATTTATAAAGTTGCGCATTTTGATGTGACGTCACATTTCTCAAACCCCCCCTCCCCCTAGGTGCGTGACGTCATTTATGGACGTCCCCCAAGTCCCGAGGGGGACCACAACCCCCGCTGTGAACGTCTCGTGGACACTCCGTACCGGGGCAGAGCAGCACACAGGGCTACACACAGACAACCCTATTCCTATTCATCGGGAGCACACGAAACACACCAAGGCCTATCTTCAACGTGACCCCGCAGCGCTCCATCTCCTTCCACGCGTCCTACTCACTCACGTGCGCGCTTCTGCGGCCGTCTGGAACGCTCTTCCTTCCGATGTTAAAGAGGAAGCCACTTTGGGCGATGCACTTTAAAAAAAAAATCTAGCTTGTAAACGAATTTCTTTAGAACTGCCTTTTTGTGTTTTTTGTTTGTTTGTTGTCATTCCTCTCCGGCACCTCCGGGCAAGCACGGTCGGCTTCGTACGGTGCGAAAGAAGTGCAACATTCATACAGAACCATAAAACTCTCATCCCATCCACACAGAACCCTCAAGACCCCCCCCCCGCCCCTCCAGGACCCCCATCACTTTAACGGAGACCCCCCTATATCCTATTCCATGCAACGCACAGGCGCCCAGATACACTCTGGGCTCACTCCGCTCGGACCACGGCCGCCGCGGGGCTCCCCCTCGCCGCGTCGTAACCCCGCAGGGAGCCAAGCAGGGACCCCCCCCCTTGGCGCCCCCCTTTACGAACCGCTCGCCACGGCGCGGGCCGCGTCCTCCTGCAGCGCGGACCTGAAGGCCTCGAATCCGAACACCCGGCCCAGCGTGTCGCGCACGGTGTCCATGCTCACCCAGCCACGAGTTCACAGCCAGCACCCCCACCCCTACCACCTCTTCTACCGGGGTAATGGAACAGTCCGCGGCAGGGTCTGTCCTGCCGGGATGACGCGGCGGGCGCGACCACTACATCCGCTCGGGAGGGGGTGGGTAGGTTCCTGTTGTGAGCGTTCATACATTTACTTGCATACATGAGGTGGGACAGTAGTTCAGTTATTGGTTTCATAATCGTTGCCCGTGGTAATAATTGGATGCGTCTGTTTTATTACCCGTAAAACTGGATATGAACTGTGCAGCGGGAATTGTGCAGTAGTTGGTGACGCGGATAAGATATACAGTACAGTATTGCAGTGATGGTGCATGGGTGTGTATTGAAGTACTGTAACAGATTCATTTCGGGACAAACTAAAATGATGGTAAGCGAAATCCAATAGGGATACACGGGGAAAACGGAATGCCCATAGTTTAACATTGAGAAAACGGAATGTCTATAGGGTTGCATGGGGAAAACGTAATTCCCATGTGGACATTGGGAATACAGTTCCCATAGCGTTGCAGAGGGAAAACGGATTACAGAGAGAATGCGGAATGCCCTTAAGTTAACATTTGGAGAGAGATAAAAAATGGCCATAGGCATATTGGAAAAACGGGTTGCCCATAAAATTACATGGGGCTGGGAATCACTGCAGTAAACTATACAGCCACATTTGAACATTTCTTTGTGTTGATTACTTGTGTTGACATTTGAATGAACACGATAATTTAATATTTTATAAATTATATTTTACGTGAACTCCGAGACGTGGTGGTGCAGTTGTCGATACCCGCCTGTGACCCAGATATCCCGAGTTTGATTTCTAGTGGCGAGTCATATCTAAACTGGTCTTAGGCATCCCTTTACCAACCTGCACTGACCAGCATGGTGAAATATCACACAACCCCCATAACTGACAGCATATGAGTATGACTGTCAAAAAATCTCAGAAATGCAATGTTAAATCTCACCAGGTCACTACTAACCCAAAAATAAATTACGAATCGACATGCACATCTCCTTTAGTTCCCATTAGCTTAAGTTGTGATTTATACACTTGTGCAAACTTGAAATTACAGCCATTAAAGTGTTTAAATACTACAACAATCACTGCATAATTATCTTCGTTTTATCTAGTTATGATGTTTACATTAATGGGAATGTTTGGCATGACCCAAAAGGCGATGTTGAGCACGTTAGGTACAACATACTGAGTCGGTTCATGTTAAAAGGAATGATAAGAAAAAAAGGAAATACTCGTTTCATAAAGGAAACTTTTTAAAGCTTTATTCACGTGTGGACATATAACTCAAAAGATTCGTGACATCCTTTCATGTAATTGACTGCTACATAGCACAGAGCTTTGCTTCTCAAGAATGGGTTTGTGTTGCTTTATAAATGGTAGAAATATGTTGGAATGCTGATATACTTCACATTTGATTTTACACTATAATTGAATGGCTCATAGAATGACAGATTTTAAGTGTCGAGTCTTGCTTCACACATTGGGTATTCATGTACTTTACCCAAGATTATACATACATGGCAAATGTTTGGCATAAGTCTGTTTGAACACACTTTCAATTGTGTTCACTGTGCACAATTAACAAGTGAAATTGTTAATGTTTGTTAAAGTTTGTAATTTTTTCTTCTTTTTTTCATATCTGAATTCATTTAAAATGTCTGCAGAAATTAATTTACAACTGTAAAGTTGAGTAGAGTTAAACATTTTCAAAAAGTATTTAACGTGCAGTAAATCAGAACACTTATTTCATATATTCTATTGTACAGTACCTGTAATTCTGTATAGGCATGACAGATGTGAATGTACTGTATTGCAATATGGTATTTTCTTCAACTTAAAATTTTACATTTTTGGTACTAATTTTAATAAAATAAGTTAAGTCAGGTAGTCATTTTGAAATGTTCACACCTTTACAATGCAGCGCATGAGTTAAGTGATGACGTCACCCTGCTGCTCTATTTAAGACCGAGAGCAAGTGAGGGCTTTACCATTCTGGCGAATTGCCCGATGATGCTGGATGTAATTACCAGCGAAACGTCGTATTCAAACTCTAAATGTTGTGGATTCGCTCTTCAACACACCGGTGGGTTAAAGTAGTGAACTAATTGTCTTTTGATTTAAAGCTTTCGTGACTGCAGTAATTCATATTCTTAGCTCTTCCGGTAAAGTCACGTTGAAGGGAAACAATAAAATATATATAAAACAATAAAAATTCTCACGTTTCGACCATAACACAAACGGTCATCATCAGGTGTGAAAAACCAACGGCAAGAAACATTTGAAAGAAGTGTCGGTTTGCATTTATTTTTAAACGCTTTATTTATTTATGAGAAACGTTAGCGCCACGCGCAGCGATTTAGCAGTTTATTTAGAAGGACGAGTCCATCTATGTTCTGAAAAGAGGGGGGAGACGAAAAATTAATGTATGCTGTCTGAAAGCCACCGTAAGCGTGAACAATACATTAAGACATGAAATGGTTTATCAAATCCTTCCAATGATTGCTAAGCCAGAATCCATCTTCTCGGTTGAAATTATACAAGCACAGAGACAATTTTAACCGAGATGGATTCTGGCTTAGCAATCATTGGAAGGATTTGATAAACCATTTCAGGTCTTAATTGATTGTTCACGCTTACGGTGGCTTTCAGACAGCATACATTAATTTTTCGTCTCCCACCTTTTCAGAACATAGATGGACTCGTCCTTCTAAATAAACTTCCAAATCGCTGCGCATGGCGCTAACGTTTTTCATAAATAAATGCACCGTTTAAAAATAAATAAAAAACGACACTTCTTTCAAATGTTTCTTGCCGTTGGTTTTTCACATCTGATGGTGACCGTTTGTGTTATGGTCAAAACGTCGTGAGAATTTTTATTGTTTAATATATATTTTATTGTTTCCCTTCAACGTGACTTTACCGAAAGAGCTAAGAATATAATTGTCTTTTGTCAACGTGACACTTTTTTTGCTGATTGGCCGTGTCGGGTGGTGGAGGGTTACGACACATTTATAAATAACGCGATCTAACCCAAAAACCTTTATTATGAATGAGTTAAGTTACTAAATGTGTATAAATATGTAGAATACTTTTTAAAATGAATAAATAAAACTCACCATATAAGCACTTGTGTGCAGTTCATGTACTTATGTCATGCGAAGGAGTTTGGATAACACATTGCTGTATGGGAACCTGTTTTATAGTCACATTTTCATCATATTGCCATATCTTACTGTACCACCTCTAAGTGCATTACAAGCTCATGAATATAAATATTCAGTAAACAACAATAGTAAAGCATTAAGTGTAACTACTCTCCAATACAATGAGGAACACTGGTAACTAATTTCAGTTGGTTCACTTTCAAAAACAAAGTACCCTTACTAAGTGCAGAATTACCATACAATAAATCAAGGTAACCAGGTATAAACACGTAGGCAGTACGCCAACTTATGATTGGTCTTACAGCTGTGTTCGGTACTAGAGAGAGCTGAATCATGGTTTTTTACTCCTCAACCTTGCTATACATATTGGGTGAGAGGAAGGAGTCCATGGAATGAGGCTGACGTGTCGGCCATGCCTCCACGCAAGGCGGACTTCTCTCCACTTCACACCAAATAGTACTCTCTCCATTGAAAGCTTTACCATGCGCACACCATTTGAACTGCTTACTTGGCATCGTGGCTGCTGTCCGGTGGTCCTATCACAAGACAAAACAATAACAAAGTAGAACATAAGGTGCTTGGTTCTATGGCATTAAAATTGGGGGAAAAAAATCTATAACACCTGACACTTAGTTTGTGGTCTTAAATGCAAAAGGAGTTGATCGTCTTATGTATAACCTTTACTTTTGTAAAAAAAAAAAGACCAAAAATTTTCTCCATGCTAATCTCATGTTTTAGAAATGTTGAAACCTTTGTCCAATTACTGTGTTAAGTTAAGAGTTGGGAAGTCGTTTTGTAAATTAAACTCCCAGTCATTCACCCCAAGGTTAGTGCGATCTAGTACCACTTGTATTTGTTTGGGCAGGGATATACTTTGACTTTAACTTGATACACTGATAAGGTGACACCTCACAATGTTAAACTCACTTGCATGGCAATTGCACCATTATCCTGTGCCGTACTATCCCTGTTCATCATGAAGCTCCACAGTTTAGCCTTGTCATTATTTCCATACTCAGTTTTGGTTGCATTAACAGGAAGGCAGGGAGTTATTTGTATCCTACAGATCCATTCAACCATCAAGCACAAGCAGAGATACGTTATTAATATTCTGGGTCTTTTAGCAGGCGGAATGTGGGCCTGCACAGCTGCAATCACACCAAGGTACAATATTGTTTGGCTATACTTATATAGCATTTTCTAATTTTATGTTATATTGTCCTCAAACCTATACCACAAGTTTGTTGATTTGATCACCCATTGCTGGTTATCCTCTCCTCTCTGACGTGTGTACTCCTTTGGCTGTAATAATATCACCAGTCTCATCTATCAACCATCATCCCTTTCAGCGATGTCCTGCCTAAGCCTATTTAATTTTCTTAACAGTCAATGGCTCTAATTTGTATGTCTGGTTAATGATTATTATTTTTCTGTTTCTCATTCCAAGCATCCATCTCTTCGTACTTATTTGTGTACTTTTCAGCTTTTGTCAGTGTTCACGTGTCTGATGAATATGTCGTGGCAGATAATATGTACCAATTGTAAACTTCTTCCTTGCACCAGGTTTGTATTTAGCTTTTGTCAATTTCATTTTTCCAAAAGCACTTCATCCTGCTCTTAGTTGCCTATTTATTTTATCACATTGATCCTGGTCCCCTTTCATGACGTTGCAGTAGATAAATATGCTGTAAATGTTTTCAATGTTTATATTCGCAGTTGACATCAATGTTGATATTGTCAAAAATGTTATTTCGTTTTACTTTGTCACTTGATGTACGAGTGGTCCTGACCACGCTTAAGTGCAAACTTAACAAAAAAAATTATATTAGCTCTCTATAGAATTG